AGACATGGAGTCAAAGGAGATCATTTTTAGGGCTTTAAGATTTGACTGTCCTGATGGATTTTGGATTTTCATTGGGCCTGTAGCCCCTTCATTTTGGCCAATTTACCCCATTTGGAATGGATGTATTTACCCAATGCCTGTATTCTCATGGTCTCTTAGGAAGTAACTAACTTGCTTTTGATATTACAGGCCTATAGATGGAAGGGATTTGCCTTATCTCAGATGATACTTTGGACTCGAATTTTGAGGTTAATGCTGGAATGAGCTAAGATTTTGGGAGACTGTTGGAGGCCATGATTGTGTTTTGTGAAGACATGAGATTTGGAAGGGGCCAGGGGCAGAATGATGTTTGACTGTGACCCCACCCAAATCTTATATTAAATTGTAGCTCTCATAATCCCCATGTATGATGGGAGGGACCCTGTGGGAGGTAACTGAATCATAGGGGTGGTTATCTCAATGCTGTTCACATCACAATGAGTGAGTTCTCATGAGAATGGAGGATTTTATAAGGGGCTTCTTCCTTTTTGCTCAGCACTTCTTCTTGATGCTGCTATGTGAAGAAGGATGTATTTGCTTCCCCATGTGCTATGCTTTTAGGTATCCTGAAGCTTCCCCAGCCCTGTAGAACTGTGAGTCAGTTAAACCTCATTCCCTTATAAATTATCCAGTCTTGGGTATTTCTTTATAGCAGCCATAAGAATGGACTAATGCATAACTCTTGTGAAGTTTGAAATTCAGTTAAAGAAGTATTTCACTGCCTGAAATAAATTGGCTCTCTCTGACATCTAAACTTTTAAATTACTTAGTACTACTGGAATATAACAGAAGATTGGTTTCTTTAACAGGGATGAAGCAGGGGAAATCAGTCAGAGGAAAGGAGGGTTGGTAAACTCGATCTTTGCCGTCTGTTCAAATTGCAATATAGTGTAGTGAATCTTTTTAATAGAAGTCATTTTTGATCTACCCTATGTGGTCTTGGCAAAACTAGTTTACTATTTTTTTAGCTTTATACCACAGACCCAAGATTCGAATAGTGGGAAGGAAATATTATTATAACTTAGTTCCACTCTATTTTCTAGAAGATCACTAGAGTATTGATTTCCTTTTGCCCTGATTCTCTGTCCACTGGTTTTATATGGTTAGATTGTAAGAATGTGTAATTATACACATACAATTTCCTATCTGTTTATTATGCATAAGAAACACCTATTTTTATTATTATAAAATAAATTATACTGAGATTTCTTGATTTGTCTAGAGAAATAAAGACCAGGTGCTCAGCTAAAGTTAGAATTAAATGACTGGATTTTAGAGACAGGAATGAGAGCTTGGCTAGGTCTCAACTAACACTGTATTCATTTTAAAAATCTAAGAAATGGCAAGAGCAGTTCTATACATTTCTAAAAATTAAATGGTAAGGCCTAAGAGTGAAGACTGAACCAATGCTACTGAATTAAGCTACTCCAATCATTATGTACCTGCGGTTCCCAATTTTTAATGTATCTTCACCACATCAGGAAAACTTACAGAAAACTAATAAAGATGTTAAGAAGTAAAGCTAACTCCAATATACTGTCTCCCTGGCAATATATCTTTGCATTTTGTTCTGTTTTACTGTAATGTTCCAAACACTCCTGTTTGGTGCAGGCACAGGAACTGACATTTTCCAATCACCCTGGCATTTACAGCCCCCTCTTCACTCCACAGCCCACTGGGATCCTCCTTCTCAGAATTCACCAGCAAGGCTTGGCCTGCCTTCACCACTGCCATTCTTGTTTCATTTTTGTTTGATGTTTTGTTTTGTTTTGACTGATGAATGTAGGTGCAGAGAGGATGAGATTGTTGTAACTAAGGACAGAAGTGAATGATAGAACATTTGTACTACCCAGCTACCTTTTTCAATTCCCGGCTGAAGATCACCCTTAGGGATATCTCATTTAAAAAGAAGCTGAGGGAAATACCCAAAGGAAGAGGAAAATGGATGTGAGGAAGTGAAACAAGCCTTCATACTAGTCTCAATCCAGTCTTCCTTTTCTCTACTGAAATTCTTCTCTTCTCTATCCTGATTTTCCCCTTCAGACAATTCTATTCCAGATTCTTTGTTTCCTAATTCATGAACCCATCTTCATCTGTCCATGTCCTTGTCTCTGTCTTACTAGAAGCCAATCTCAGGGCCATGCCCCATACAGGTTTTTATTAATCCACCCTGAGTAATATGGTAAATACGTAAAACTCAAAGTGATCAAAAATACCCTTTCAGGATTACATATACAATGTGAATTCCCTTGCTACATTATAAGACTACATTAGAAAGGTCGAACTCTCTGAAATAATGATAGGGTACTATAAAATGCAAGGCATTATTATTACTATATTTTTGCTTTTATGTTATAAGTATCAAAAATAGCAGGCGTCTATATTCTGCTAACCAGCTCTGTAGCTACACATGCCATGATACTGGAAGTTCTAGAAACAATTCTGAATATGTATAAAAATGCAACAAATGGCAAACCACTTATTAATCTCTTTATGCTAATAATTTTTCAAGTTATTTTTACAGGATCTTCTAAAACAAAATCCCATATGAAAATCTATAAATTTTAAAAACTATAAAGCCTAGAATTTCACAGCATATCCCAAATAGTTATGAGCTTTGACCATATATCAGTAGAGTTACAGTAAACTTAGTGATTAATTTTTTCACTCAACACATTTCCAATAATTGTTTTTTCTGGATGGTGCACTGTACTAAATCCTATGGGAGATACACAAATACATTAATAATAGTCCTTATGTTCTGGAATTTTATAGTCTAGTTATCATTAAAAGCATATAGTCAGATAAACCCACAAATGAAGATCAAGTAAATGAATCAGAAAATATATACTGTAGGAATTTCGAGTAGGAACAAATCCTTTGTGGAGAAAATGATCATAGAAGTTAAAATGGAGCAGATGGCATTTAAGCTGGACACTGAAATAAGATTCTACTTGGCAGAAAATTCAAGAGGTGATTAAAATAGCAATAACACAGCAATTTTAATAATCATAACAAAAAACAATCATGATGAAAGTTTTCATTTTTGGAACACGCCATATATCATAAATTCTAGGTTAACCCTTTATCTGTCTTATTTCATTTAATATTCAAAACAACCCAATGAGCTATGAACTATTATTATGCTATTTTGAGGGATTAGGAAATTTGAGCTTAGGGAAATAAAGCAGTTCGTCAAGACTATAGGGCATATAAATAAAACGACCATAGTTTGAAAACAGACTGTTGTACAGCATCCAAGCAAATGTGCTAGTTCCAGTCTGTCTTAGATTCATTCAATGTTCTTTCTTGTCTCTTTTGTGTCATGTGATAGCAGAACCGTACATGCAGCTTACTTTTTACCAGATTCAGCCAATGACAGGTATTGATGGGATATGATGGGTTAGGAAGAAGCCAAGAGCTTTCTCCCCTTTGGATAGCCACTATGTAATCTCCATGGCTCTACTATGTGTGACACAAAACAGGTATGGCCCAATATTGACCAGGTTATCTGGCCCTTAGCTCTTTCAAAATCTTCTCCTTAACTCTCCAGTATAGGAGTTGAAGTCAATTATGTTTGTGCTAATCCCTCCATTATCTTGCTACCCCTTCTTTACTTCTCAGCAATTTCATCACTGGTGTTACAAATTCCCACTATTAAACTCCTATTTCTAAATACTTGATGTGAGTTCTATTTTATTTTTACTTATGAGCAGATACAATAAAATAAAATTTCAAAATATATTTAAAAGAAAGGCACAAGCAAAGATTTCAAAGTGAGAAAAAAGCAGCAACATTTAAAAAGTGAATGTACTAGTTTTATTGGAGTAGGGAGTTCAGGAAGTGAAATTCTGAGAGTGAGTTTTAAAGGTCCAAGATGGTGGGTAAGTTTGAATGGCAGGCTTTATGGAACAGGAAATACAGAGGGATTCAAAGTTCGGAAAGAGTAATCTGAAGTTCGGCAGTACGGGTTTGGTGAAGGAATGATGTCAGAGAAAAATTGCACCAAATTGAGTAAACAGGAGTCAAGACGATTACAAAAGGAAGAGGGATTGCCCTCAATGCTGCTGATGCAGGAAAATGGGGGTGGTGTTAAGTGCCAGAGACAGCTAGTGGGAAAGAACTGGAGGACCTCAGGGAGAAAGTTGGTCAATGAGATTAGGCCATCTGTATGTGCTTATTGATGCTTATCTGAGTTAGGCTCCTACCCTCCCACAGAGGCTGAAAATAGGGGTGCTATCTTTCTTGATGATTACCTTTCAAACGGATGGCTTCCAGGTCCTTGAGAAAGACATTGCTGGGTTATAAAAGTCAGGAGAGGCTGGGAGATTTGTATCTCAAAGGGGCAAAGAATTTACAATTGTACTTTTTCTAAAGTAAATGCCTTAAGAAAAGAAAGATCAGGGACCTATAGTCAAGAAGAAATTTGTCTAAAATTTAGTCAAGCTGAGGGGAACATTAAGGACATCTTGAGCAGTGACTAAAATTAGGCAGACCAGTAGGAAGGTCATAATCTAAAGGTACAGCAGAGAAAATGTGTAAAAATAATCAACAGAAATTGTCTGCTGGTTAGATATATGTAAGGAAGAGTAAGAAAGGGCAGGTGCAAAGTAAACTCAACTACTTTTCTCAGAGGGATGTGGCTTTATTAAAGACGAAATAAGTGGAAATAATAACCCATTGGTATAAGGTGAAAGCCACTTGAATGGATGACCAATTCTAAATATTTCATTGATAATAGTCATGAACCAGTCAAGGACTAGCAAACCTCCAACGACATTTATTAAATGTGTCTCTCTCCAGGAGAATGGAGAAATAGCAATTATTTAAACTTAACCACTACTTTATTTCCATGAGGTTTTAAAAACATATTTTGAGGACAAATAATGGCAAAGTTAATATATATCAGTAAAATCTTGAAGGGAATAAGCTAATTTGATTCTATTTATATCTTTCTCTAGGTAAAGGAGAAGAAAAAAGGGACAAAATGAACAAGAAGAAGGCGATGTTTGCCCACATTGTGAGTCATTGTTTTCATATATTTATCTCATATAATTCTCAACCAACCATGAAGCATGAAGAAGATATTATCTGCCCTATCTTCAGATTAAACTTTGTTTACAAGGCAACATCCAATTGCAGAGCTGCCTTTGAATCTAAGTCTACCTAACACTAAGATCCATACTCTGCTACAACAACGTGCTTGGGATAAGTAGACTTCAGTGAGCAGAGAAATTGATTGGAACTTAAATGAAATGATGACAAGTTTTACTGATCAAAGGACTTTGCTCTGCTAATGCATCAAATTACAGGTGGTTTCCTGGCAAACAATACTTGCAGAGCTATTCACACTTCAGGTCAAAGTATATTTTTTCAAGTATTAACTATTATTGTTGGCTTTTCATATGTTAACTAAATCCATGCTGTTGTTGGAGTCAGTGTTAGTTCGATGTGCTTGCTTGCAACGATGCAACTTGGTCGCCCTCTGGTGGCCATTTCTAGGATTGACTGGCATGTCTTAATTTTGGGAAAGTCAACAATTTAAGTTTTAATTGTGTGGAATTTTTAAATGTGTGAAAAATATGTATATATTATACTTAGTATAAATGTGTCTCTGTCCAGGAGAATGGAGAAATATCAATTATTTAAACTTAACCACTACTATTCATGTTTCAAAAAATGTTCATTTTAACATTTTATAGCACAGAATATTTTGAATTTCAGTTACCCTTTGGATATATAGATGATCATGATTCCCTTTTCATCATGGAAAATGTATCTATACTGGGGCTTTTTTTCTTTCCCACTGAGAACACAAGGGCAATTAGCTCTATGTGTTAAAAAATAGACTATATATTTTTCACTTAATTGGAAACATAATCTGTGCTTTTAGGTAAATAAACCCATCTCTGTGTTTCCAGATTGTTTTTATGTTTTTCTTTCTACCAGAGACAAATTATGACAGCTTACAAGATCTTCATAAACAGAATGTCTCAAATGATAAAAATGTTTTGTGCCCTAGTTAATTCATTTCAGTTTTTTTGTTGAAAAAGTATTATTCCAGTTAGTGAAAATTAAACAAAGCATTTGCCATATATTTGTGACAGCTGTCATGACTTAGTTATAACTATTTTTCACACAGTTATGAGTTGCAACTGTAAACCTAGTGATTCTTTATTTGATTACATGAAGGTCAGTTTTTAAACAAATGAGCAGATGGAGAAGTCAGCCTCAGCCATTATTTGGAGTACATCATACAACCAAAGTTGCATAAAAGGTCTGTAACCTAAAGTTGATATAGAGGTCTCTCTGGTCTTTTGTGACCATTTCACTATTTTTTTTGCATTTTCGGTTTTGGGGTACATGTGAAGAACATGCAAGACTGTTGCATAGGTACACACATGGCAGTGTGATTTGCTGCCTTCCTCCCCTTCAGCTATATCTGGCATTTCTCCCCATGCTATCTCTCCCCAACTCCCCACCCCCTGCTGCCCCTCCCCTATTTACCCCTACAGACCCCAGGGTGTGTTGCTCCCCTCCCTGTGTCCATGTGTTCTCATTGTTCAACACTTGCCTATGAGTGAGAACATGCAGTGTTTGATTTTCTGTTCTTGTATAAGTTTGCTGAGAATGATGGTTTCCGGGTTCATCCATGTCCCTCTTTCTCACTATGACTTCATATTCCATTGATAAATGTTTCAGTGCAATGTTTGAGACCCTGCAATATTTAACAAGACAGATATATAATGTTTAATTACATGGCTCCCTTATATCACTCCTCTGTTATTTCGTTATAACAACTTGACATAGCACCAGGGTCCTATCCAGCAGAAAGGTGATATCAAGCACTGAACGTTGTATACTGTAATATTTGGCCCTCCCATTGCCTTTTAGCCACCTTCTTGACACCTCGACACAGGTACCAGCAGAACAGTTCTTGAGGCAAAGATTTTTAGGGAGCCTTGAATACATGCTGGAAATGGACAGAGGAGAATGGAGGAACAGAAGAGAAAAATATAGGAAAGACAAAAAGATTTTTCATAAATCTTTCAGCCACAAAAACTATGAGCACCATGTGAAGCAAGTGGAGAAATTTAGCTTCATGCATTAATTTGTCAATTAGAATAAAAGAGAAGAGAGAATAAAGAAGTATTTAAGAGGTAAATTGGATAGGATTCGCAATTGATAGGATACAGTGGATGAGGAGAGAGAGTAAGGTCAAAGTTAATGGCTAGACTTCTGGTTTGTGTAACTGAATGAATGGTGCCACTGTACATTGAGACAAACAAAAATGGAGGAGGACAGATTAGAGGTTGTGGGAGAGCATGTGTATGTTGAGTTTTATGTTTATATAAATAAAAAGGTTGAGATGTTAAATAGGTACTGGATATACAGAATTTAAGACTGAGGTAATGGATACAGCAGGTACTCAAATAACAAAGTTTCATTTAACATCGTTTAGTTATAAAGTTGATGAGAAAAAAAATTAACTCCCATCCGAGGCCCCAGACTATGTGGAGCTTACACATTTTCCCCATATCTCTATGGATTTTGGCCCCAAACTGTGGTTGCTTCCCATATCCCAAAGCTGTGCACATTCGCTGAATTGGTGTGCCTACATGGTTCCAGTTTGAGTAAGTATGAAAGTGTGAGTGAGTGTGACCTATGGTGGGATGGCTTCCCTGCCAGGGCTGGTTTTTGCCTGGCACCCTGAGATGCTGGGATATGTTCCTATCACCCACCACTCTGAAATGAAATAAGAAAGACAGAAAATAAATGCAGGAATGAATGAATGAATACAAATTATTGTCAAGTAAATATCTGTTAAGTATATGACAATTTTACAAATGTCCATTTATTATCATGCCAAAGTGCTCAGGAAGTGTGCGATATTTGCTATTATTTGTATTTGAACTTTGTGGCACAAGGAGGTACTCCTGAAAATTTTCACTTTGCTAACATTTATTTCGTAATTTAAGCCATCACTCCCGTGAGTTTTATCATTCACTGATTCACAAAAAAAAAAAAAAAAGGGTCAGTGACTATCTTACTTAATTTTATCGATTTTACTTAAATTTATGTATAGCTCACATTTATTTCAATGTTTAATATTAGAAGTGTTTTTGGTTTTTATTTATAAGTTTGGTGATGGTTTTGTTACCAAAAGTAGTCCATTAGAACTTATCTCTTATTTGTATCTACTAGCCTATGGAAAAATTGGTTTCATTATTCATAGTTTTCCTGAAAGTCACAGTTTTCCAAAACCTATCCACGATGTTAAAAGAGGACTTGCTGTACATGTATGTCCCATTTGTGTGGAGGTGGAAATTAAAGCTGTGGAAAGATTTCCCTAAAATATCCTGATAATTTTATAGAAACCCACATATTGTATAGTCCTAAAATGAGAGAAAATAATATCTACAATTGAACTTTGAAAAATTTCAACACTTAATGTTTGGAAAAAATATGTATCTGCAAAAGTGATGGAGAATGAGCAACCACAGAGATAAGCAAAAACCAGGAGCGTCTTAGAACAAGGAAAATTAAGTTAAAAAGAGGGAAGCAAGTTCTAATTACAGATCAACTAACTAAAAGATAGTCTCTACCTACTGGTTCTATGAACTTGGAAATTATTTATAAACTTTTTTTTTATTGGAGTGGTAAAGGCTGATTTCTTTTGGAAATAGAGTGAAGAATGAATAGGTGATAAACTGAAGATACTGAATATAAAAATCTATTTTGTAGAAATTGAAAAATTACAGTTTTGAAAAAGGAGAGGGAAAAGGTAATCAAAGCAGAGGTTGGGTGGAGAAATGGTGAGTTTGATTTTGCATTTCTTCTTTGTTTTACTCTTCTTTTGAACTGTTTCTTCCCTACATTGGAAGATGTTATAATGTTCTGATACTAATGGAAAGGTGAGAAGAAGATATTGAATGGTTTAAGGATTCTGAGAAGGTAGAAGTAGATGTAATCCAAAGAAAGAGTGAAGAAATTGCCTTTAGTATAAAGGGGGCGCTTGTTCTGTTAAATGACCAAACGAGATAAAGATGGGAGCAGTGGTAATAAACGTATTATGTTCACTAAAGAAAAGTTCATCTCTAATGTCTTTTATTTTCTTTTCTGTGAATTAGAAGAGATTATCTCCTGATAGTACAGCATATGGTAGGAATATAGACAGTTAAAGATAGTATGGAATGAGAGAAAAACACATTGTAAAGAATGTAATGGCTGTTCCTGATAAATGAAGTAGAATTAAAGGTCAACATTGAAGGATGTTTGATGTCACTGGTCTAAACCTTTATGTTATTTTCTCAGGTAGCTTTTAAAGGTAGAGGTCAAAAAAAAGAGAAAGCAGTGGTTTGGGGTTTATCGAGGTTTGAATACAATGAAAAGATACTAGAGCAATGGAGTTTAGGATACTATCAGAAATAATATGCATTGGAATCTAAAATAATAAGGAACGATGTAAAGGCAATATTAGGAGAAAATAAAGAAGAAAGTATACTTGTTTCAAAGTACAATCATGGTAGCACTGTGATTTGAACAACTAAACTGAAATGTGAGAAGTTTATTTCAAGGATGGCATGCTTGTGTTAATGATTTGGGAGGTGGAACTGTGTAATTTTTTGTTTCTTTTTGTCTTAAGACCATGTCTTCATCTTTTTTTCTCTGATTTTTACTGTGGAAGATAGACTCGTGAAATTGAATTTTCCAGTATGACTTGACAGTAAGTATCTCATTAGGTTTGAGCACAATGGAAGGAGGGAATAAAGGAGAACACAGAATACCCTCCTTTTTTACATTTTTTTGAGATAGTATCTCACTCTGTTCCCAGGCTGGAGTGTAGTGGTGTGATCATGGCTCACTGCAGCCTTCACTCCCTGGTCTCAAGTGATCCTCCTGCCTCAGCCTCCCAAGTAACTGGGACTACAGGTACATTCCATCATGACCTGCTAGTTTTGTTTTGATTTTTTTTAGAGACAGGGTCTCACTATGTTGCCCAGGATGGTTTTGAATTCATGGCCTCAAGCGATCCTCCCACCTTGGCTTTTCAAAGTACTGGATTACAGGCATGAGCCACTGCGCCTGGTCTGCCCTCCTCCTTTGAGTGGCATAGACATCTACATTTGAGGCTTTGTCTCCTTCATGGATACAATTCCTGTTAGAGATTTTCTCCCTCTATATTACCAGAACCACCAGCATCCATTCCAATTTTGTTTGGGGGATTCCCCTCTTGCAAAACTCTGAGTGGCCTCCTTATCCCCATTTTGACTCTTTAGCTTTACCAATCTTTGAAAAGAAAAGGTTATTATATTAAAATGCACCTTCTAAACTTCTGAAGCAGACTATACATCCTGTCTGAACTCTAACTGATCAGTCCCAGGAAACAGATCTTCAAAAGAAGACTCTAGAACTATGTTGTTTATCACGTTGAACTTAAATATAGTCATGACCTCAGTACCAATGTAAAGAAATGAGCACTTCTTCCAAGAAGTGGAAACATGATTATTTAAGCTACCACCAGTGTTTGTTTCAGATAAATTGGCAGTCAAAGAAAATACTTTTGGAGGTCAAGTGGCTCCTATGTTTTTTCATTGTGGTAATAATATCTATAAGCCCTGTGGGTTACATTAGCTACTTCTGATAACACCAGAGAGCATACAAGATGCAAATGATAAGTTGAGTGTTTAACCTGTAAGATCAATGCAGGGGAAGAGACATAGACAGGCCCTCTTGAGGGATTTAAATGCTTCTCTGGTTTTGTAGCCATAGAGCAGACATGGCTGAGCATCAAGCTTCAAATCTAAATTTGTGGGTTACAAAATTTAAATAAAAGCTCCATGTCCACCTTTGTGGTGAAATGGTACCACCATTGTGGAAAACGTTCTGAAAGTTTCTCTATGAAACGGAGTTACCA